GTTTTTTTCTTTTTTCTTTTTTTTTTTTTCTTTTTTTTTTTTTTTTTGCCTCTACTGAATTCTCAGACTGAAAGGGGCAAAATTCTGTCTCCACAAATCCTCAGAATCCTGGGCTCCTGTCTCCTCCCACCTTATATTTCTCTCTCTGTTCAGTCATTTCACTTACAGTCTCCACCTCCCTAGTGCTGGGATTAAAGGTGTGAGTCACCACTGCTTGGCTCTGCGTCTCATTTAGACTGAGTCAATCTTGTGGTGGTCTTGAACTCACAGAGATCCATCTGCCTCTGTCTCTCAAGTGCTGAGATTAAAGGTGTGTGCCACCACTGCCTGACCTCTATGGCTAACTAGTGTGGCTAGCTCCACACTCTGATCTTCAGGCGAGCTTTAGTTGTCAAAGCACAAACAAAGTATCACCACACAGGTCTCTGAGTTTGAGGCCAGCCAGGTCTACAGAGTGAGTTCCATGACAGCCAGGACTAATTCTAACAACTTGTGTGAGCTCCTTAGAATCCCCATGAAGGTGGAAGAAGAGAACTGATACTAGAAAGTTGTCCTCTAGCATATGCATTCACCCTCACATAGCAATAAATAAATAAAACTTTAGATGGCCTTATAGCCACTGGACATGATAGCACATTCAGGAAGCAGAGACTGGAGTGTCAGTGGAAGCTCAAGATCAGCCTGATCAACAAGTTCTAGGCCAGCTATCTATCTATCTATCTATCTATCTATCTATCTATCTATCTATCATCTATCTATATATCTATATCTATATATCATCTATCTATCATCTATCTATCTATATCTATCTATCTATCTATCATCTATCTATCTATCCTATCCTATCCTATCCTATCCTATCCTATCTCAAACAAAAACCCAAGCTGGTAGCTTATAAAGATGTGTACAAACAGAAAGAGTGCCGTGTGTCTACACAGGCAGGGACCCAAGTATAGAAGCTTCCAGCTAAGGAATCCCAAGACTGAAGGCATGGAGAGATAAGGCAGAATGCCCAGACTTCTGGGTTTCAAAAGGAATATGGCCTCCCTGACACCTTTATTGATACGATAAATTCCTGCAGCTTTAAACCACCTTATGAGAGACACTCTGACCCAGCAGCCCTTAGGAAATGCTTACATCCTACAGAGAATAGGACACCATATTGTGTACTGAGGATTGGGACCCGGATGGCCCCATGAGAGCAAGTGGTAGTAACTTTAGGAGGGTGTGAGGACTAGTCTTGGTTGTTGACACACATGGGAAAAGGAAACTTCGGTTGAGAATTGCCTTCCATCAGATTGGCTGTGGGCATGTCTGTGGGGCCATTTTCTTGATTACTGATGGATGTGGAGTGTTCCGCTCACTGTGGGAGGTGCCATCCTTGAGCAGGTGGATCTGAACTGTAGAAGAATGAGCTGGGCTCTGGTAGCATCAGAGGACAGATCTGTGAATTCACAGCAGCCTGGTCTACACAACAAGTTCCAGGACAGACAGGACCACGTTTTAACATTTCAAAAAGAAAGGGGATGGGAAGAGAGAGAGAGAATATGAAAGATGGAGAGATGGCTCAGTGGTTAAGAGTACTTGCTCTTGCTCCTCTTCTACAGAACCAGGTTCAATTGCCAGCACCCACATGGTGTCTCATAACCATCCATAATTCTAGTTCCAAGGGATCCAGTGTCCTCTTCTGACCTCCATGGGCACATCATATATGTGGTGCGGCAACATACATGCAGGCAAAACACCCATACACATAAGATAAATATAAAAATAAATTTAAAGCCAGGATGCTCAATGCCCAGCCAGCCCAGCCAAACCCAGCAGCTTGAGGTTTAATTTTTCAGACTGTGTCTCAAAAGAAGGTAGAGAGCAATAGAGGGAGGGAGATAGATACCTGATGCTGACCTCTGGTCTTCACACGAGCATGCATGCACCACATGTGCACACACACCACATGTACACACATACACTATATATACAAACCCCACCCCACTCACCCCCAAAAGAAAAAATGTAACTTTTTAACTTTATTTATTTAAACTTTTTAAAAGGTTTACGGATGTTTTGCCTGTATGTATGTCTGTACACCGTGAGTGTGCCTGGTGCCCAGAAGGCCAGAAGAGAACATTAGATTCCCCTAGAACTGGAGTTACAAATGGTTGTTAGCTGCCATGTGGGTGCTGGGAATTGAACCTAGTACTCTGGCAAAGCAGCCAATGCTCTTACCCAGGAACTGTCTCTCCAACCCTGGAAAAGAAGCTTATCTAGTTTCCTGAAAGGCATCTTGAAGACAGGATCATGCTCTCAGAGCATGATCAGAAAGCCACAGCTGTTTGCTGGGATGGACAGGAACTTCCTCTCCTGTTCCATGTGGGAATGAGAGACTGAAGACACTCAACTTGGCCTTTGAGGGGCAGATGGACAGGAGATTCGATGTTTCTTTCAAGGTGGCCCCAGGGTAGGCACTACAGAACCTCAGGAGTAGTGAGTATCGGGCGCCAGGTTGGCTTGTGTGTCTGTGGAGGGTGCAGGGATTTGAAGAGAAGTACTGGACCCCAGCTCCCTCCTTGGTTATCCCCCTGCCGATGACATCTACCCTGCAGAGGGATGAACCTGTCGACAGGAACTGGATGGCATGCCTGGTTACATCCTCCACCCTCCTGTTGGTCTTCAATTCTGCACTGGCTTCTTCTTGGCCCCAATTAAGAGTCCTCAGGGCCCCGTGAGTATGGCTGGGTCCAGTGAGGTCCAAACCTGGACTTCCCTGCCCCCTCCACCCACACCCACCTCAGCATCAGTCTGGATGAACAATTACCTAGAGATCATCTTTCTGGGGCTTAAGCGTGGGTGGGAGCAGATGGGATATGAGCTGGGGATTTGGGGATGGAGAAAGGTATCTGCTCCCCTTCCCCCACATCCTGGCCCTTTAAAAGGCCCTCTCAGGTGTGGGGACTCTGTCACAGGCCAGGAGGAAAGTGTGGGGAAAACAAATGATGGATCAGGAAGAAGAAAGGGGTGAGGGGGGCTCAGGTCGTCTGGACAAGGTAAGAGGGCTCTGCCTGACTCCATCACCAGCTTCTTGAGGTCTCAGTACCCATGACTGACAGGATTAACTCATTTGTAGGGCATCTAATTAGCAAGCAAGTCTCTGGGGTTCCCTGACCCAGTTACCATAATGCATGGGGGAGTATATTAGGAGGGTATAAGTGCCCCTCCCCCTGCCCAGGGCAAATGGTTGGATTCCTAGTACTGCTCTCTCCAAGAGATGATAGGTGCTATGATTTAGGGGCACTTCTGAGCCCCATTTCTCTGGTAAGTGTCCCAGCCCCCAAACCAACCCCAGTATGGTCTTGATCTAGGACAGTGGTGGAATACTGTCCCTAGAGGCCCTTGTGAAATTGTGCTGCAGGCTGGGGCCCCAGGCTGGGAGGTGGGAGGAGGGGGGTGGGGGTAGGGGCAGTTCAGAGAAGGAGACTCACATTTCATTTTGAGAAACTCTACAGACCTGTGAGGACTATGGTGAGAGCAGAGATGGGAAGGCAGGCACTGGCTCAGGTGGGCGCTGGATGGAAGACAGGAACGGTACAGTACCCAGCTAAACCAAGCATGTCTGTCCCCAAGGCAGGTTCACCAGACCAAGAAGGCTTCTTCAACCTGCTGAGCCACGTGCAGGGCGATCGGATGGAGGAGCAGCGCTGTTCTTTGCAGGCTGGTTCAGGCCAGACCCCAGAAAGCCGTGAGCTGGGCATGATGCAGGGTTGGGGGCAGGGCTGGGGTGGGTACTGCCTGAGAAACAAATGCAGCAGGGGTGCAGGGGTTCTGGGGTCTTGTGGCTCTTTGGACTCAGTCTGGAAAGCACCATGTGACCTCCTTGGATTTGTATTCATGACCACCTGTCTCTGATCCAGAGGGTGGCCCTGCTCCTGAGATGGACAATCTCATGGATATGCTGGCCGACACCCAGGGCCGCCGTATGGATGACCAGCGTGTAACAGTCAATTCCCTGCCTGGCTTCCAACCTATTGGTCCCAAGGTAGGTGATGATAACCTGTCAAGTGAAGCAGTATAGCTCTCTAGATCTATGCCCATCTTCAGCCAAGGTAGGACAGGACCCTGTCTCTAACTCTGGAAAAGGAAAGTGCACATGGATGTGGATGTCAGAGGGACTTAAAATCATGCAGGACTCATGCTAGTATCAGAATTATGGCTGGAAGTTACAACTGCCACAACATCTGTGTACCTGGGAAAGGCCTCGTGGAGAAAATAGACAGTTTTTCTATGGTGATGCTGCTGGGAGAAGGGCAGATGAGCTCACACACCCATGTATTAACAAAGAGCATGGGTTCTGTTTGAGGGTATTTTTGTTTTGGAGATATTGTTTTATGTAGCTCCGGTTGGCCTCAAACCCACAAGCCAATGATGACTTTAGACTTCTAATTTTCCTACATGTACCTCCTTAGTGCTGGGATTACAGGTGTGAGCCACTAAGAGTGGTCTGTGTGGTTGCATTGAATGATCTGTGTGGTTAGGGATGGAATCTGGAGCTTTGGTGCATTCTGTCAACTGGGCTACATCCCCAGCTCTGTGTCTTAAGTACACTAGCATACATGTTATAGGTCCATGTGCACATATGCAGGCAGAGGCCAGAAGTTGACTTCAGATACTGTTCCTCGGTTGCCATCACCATTTGAAACAGGATCTTTCACTGCCCTGGAACTCATCAAGTAGACCAGGCTCGCTGGCCAGGAAGCCTTAGGGCTCCTCCTGACTCTACTCAAGCACTGAAATTACAAGTGAATAAGACCACATCTGGCTTTTCATTTTGATGTTGTGGATTAAACTCAGGTCTTCAAGTGCACACAGCAAGAATTTTAATGACTACATTATCTTCTCAGCCCATTTATTTGTTTGTTTTTGAGACAGGATTGTGAGCCTGGAACTTTTTATGTAGACCGGGTTGGCTTTGAACTTGAGATAATTCTCCTGCCTCTGCTTCTTGAGTGCGAGGATTAAAGATGTAAACCAACAGCTCAGGTTCTGATCAAGACCCCACTGAGAGTTGACTGTCTCATACCAAATACCACACTGATTGGCAGATGGAGACAGACAAAAAGAAGTGTTGTCTGAAGCCTCCTCTGGCTTGCACTTTCCTTGGTCTCCTCCCTCTGTCTGACCCTTCTTCATCTGCAGGATGGAATGCAGAAACGACCTGGGACCCTCAGCCCTCAACCCCTGCTCACCCCTCAGGACCCTGCTGCACTCAGCTTCCGCAGGAACAGCAGCCCCCAACCTCAGACACAAGCTCCTTGAGAGTTCTAGCCATCCTGGGCCCCTCACTGGCCCCTGAATACAACAATAAAACGCTTGGCACTAGTAACAAAGAATTGAGTGTGTGTTATTTCCTGGGTGGAGGGGCCGGGACTTGATACTTGAAGGTCTCAGGAGCTCTGCTGAGCAGCTTGAAGAAGTCTCTCTTCCCTCTGCTTCCGGATCTTCTGTTTGAATTCTTCTAGCTCCTGGCGCTGGAATGAAGAAAAGGGTATGATGAAAAGGAAGGAGGGGCACACACCTTAGGGCCTGGACTTACTCCCACTACCCTCCCTTTGGCTTGACAGTTCAGTATCCATCCTGGGACTCCATGCCAATCACAACCACCATACCAGTGAGTTCAGCTTGATCCTTCAGGGAGAAGGTACTATATGAAACTACTTGTGCCCTTCCCACTTTTTAAGACAGGGTCTCACATACTGCAGGCTAGCCTTGAGCTCATTATGCAGGAGAGAATACCCAGAATTCTTGATCTGCCTGCATCCACCTCCTAAGCACTGGAATGCTGGAATTACAGCCCCCTCTTCCTGCTCCCTCTCTCTAGCCCTATGCAGTTCAGGCCAACTCAATCTGATAATCCTCCTACCCCTACTTCCAAGTAATCATGGGTATATGCCATCTCTAACAGTAAGAAGCTTGTATGGAAACAAGGTCTCTAGCCCAGGATAGTCTAGAACTCCTACTCATTTTTCTGTTTCCAATTTCCCATCTGAAATTGGCTGAGGGTGGAATTTATTCCAAGTCCACCAAGGGTAAGGTGACCCAGCCCCTTGGAAGAAGAACGGGCTCCTTACCTGAGTCTCCTTCTCTGGTGGCCACAGCTCCCTCTGTGGAACAAAGTCACAGGTGAGAACACAGCCAGAAGAAGCCGGTGTCCCGCATTCAGAGCAGAGTTGCACATGAGAGGCAGGTAATGGTCCCCAGCAACAAGTTAGTGCCTCATACCCTGCCTTCCTTATCCCCAGGAATGACCCAACAAACTCTCCTGGTACCTACCTTGCGCTGGACAACATAGTCCTCAAACCACTCTGCCTGATTGGAGATCCAAAACATAACCACGGGGAAAGTGAGGTAGAGTGACATCTGCAAAGGCAAGGGGTGCATGGACAGAGCCAAGAACTATCATCACCCTAGTACAGGGAGATTGTAGCAAAGTCCAGAAGACAGATCTATCCTCCTACACAGGCCAGGAGCCTGACCTCGTGGCCTCCCCAAGGAACCCCAGAAATCCTACCAGTAGAACAGAAATTCGGCACCTTAAAGCCTGGTATTCCTGATCCAGCAGGCTTTATTCGTAACAGTCCTGTCTAAGCTTCACTCTCAAACACACACACACACACACCAAGGCGCACGGTGGTGGTGGTGGGTACCGTCCAACCGCTCCTACTACAAAGATATATCCTTGAGATGTTACTGCCTCCCGATCTGATTCCCGTAGCATTTTAAATAGAGAGGCCTCATTTTTTCAATTATACTCTTCTACATCTAGGAGTCCGCCTACTGAGACCTATTAGAAGCCCGAGGCGCCCCTTCTGGAAAGCCCGCTCTGGATCTGAAGCCTCCTTTCATTCCTCACTGAGACGCTTCCTCAGACCAAACCCAGACTCTCCATTTTAAGCCCACACATTTAGAGCTCAATCCGCTGGGGTTCCAAAACAAATCTCAGATACTTTCTCCGTGGAACTCCCCGCTCTGCCCTTCTCTCACTTCCAATAACTAATTTCAAATTCTGAAAGATGCCAGGTTCAGACGTCCAACCCACTCCTGAGCTCACTAACCCGAAACACCTCCAGTTTCACCCCCATCTCGCTTCTCCGGTTTTATGAAGCCACTTCCGCCCAAAGGCGACTCTCCAGCAATACAAAATCTCATTGGTGTATCTGGAGAAGCGCTACTGAAGCTGAGTGGCCAATAACTCTCTCTTTGGCGTCATCTTTCGGCGCCGCTCTTCTGCTTCCGGTCACAGCCTTGACGACACAAAATTCGACAGAGCAGGCATTGCAGGGAAAGTGACGTGCAGCCAATAGAGAAAGTCTGGCCGGAGAGAACGGGCCTTCTGTGAGTGACGCCACCAGAGCACAGGCTCTCGTCTGTACCTGGGATCCAGGAAGATGGTGGTGATGGCGCGGGTTCCGCGTCCCGAGCGGCCGGATCTTGTTTTTGTAAGTCTGCGCGAGGCCAAGGGTGATCCGTGAGGGAAGATCCGAAGCTAGATTCCTCCTCGGCTCGGAATCTGGCTATCTGGGGGGTAGGCCCAGACTCTGCATGCCCAGTCCATGGGGATCCTAACGAGCCAAAGGCGACATGTCAAAACACTGACCAGGTCGGGAATAAAGAACCGGATCCTTCAAGGCCTGAGTGAAGCGAGGAACTTAAGGGCTTGATGTCTCGGGCCGGGAGAAAGTGACGTCAAGAGCGGGAATGGGATAGGGAAAAGGCATGATCTTGATAGGCATAGTGACCAGGTTTGAGTTCTGGGACTGCAAGAACCTTGAAGCATGAAGAAAAGACTAGTGATGTGGATGGCCCCTGGGATCCTAAAAAGGTGAAAATTTGGTGGCTGAAATAGAGGCTCCATATTTAAACTGCGTTTATAGTGTTCTGGGTTAAGGGCCATAACTGGTACGTGGGTTTGGAGTTACTGGGGTTTAACCAAGGGTCTTGAGCATGCCAAGCAAGCACTCTACAATTGATCTATATCCCCCCACAAATATGTATGTGCCCCAGCTCCGGAGATAAAAACCCTTTAGCTTGCAATTTCTGGGGTAGAGTTGAGGTAAAGTTCAGGGTAATGAGATCCTGAAGGGCAGAAATCTGACGGACTAGGTGACTTACGTAAAGATTTAGTCACCTGGGGCTGCGGAGGTGGCTCAGTTGATAAAGTGCTTGCTGTACAAGCATAGGCCCTCAATTCAGAACCCTAGCACCCATAAAATGCTAGTGAGAGACCCTGTCTCAAAAGGCAGAGAGCAATTGAGGAGGACCTCTGACTTCTTCCAGCATGGGCTCCCACATGTGCATATATGGATGTATACACCTACAAAAAATGTTTTTGCTTTGTTTGAGATAGGATCTCACTATGTAACTCTGACTGGCCTGAAATTTACTGTAGACCAGCCTGCCCTTGAACTCATAGAAATCCATCTGTATCTGCCTCCTGAGAAGAGGCTGGAAGAAAAAAAGAAATAAATGAAAAACTTCAAAATTTTGAGGCAGGTGTGGTAGCACATACCTTTGAGTCCAGTACTTGGGAAGCAGAAGCAGGTAAATCTCTATGAGTTTGGAGTCAGTGCGGTCTACATAGTGAGTTCCAGGGCAGTCAGAGCAAATAGTGAGACCCTGTCTTGGGGGAAAAAAAAATCTTTAAAATTTCATTATCTGGGCTTGGCATGAAGATAGGTCTGGTGCTAACAGTATGAGCATGGGGGAGCAAAGCTTTCTGTCTGGGAAGAAGTGTTGTGAGTACATGCAACCTATTGACAGTGGTAGAGGCCTGGCGCCCGGACCTGTGTATGCACCAGTGTTATGAAAGTCTAGAGATTATGGGGAAGACATGGGAGTGGAAAATCGATGGTGAAAATGTCCAAAAATCACTATATATATGTATGAAATTACCAAAAAAAAATTTTTAGAGTGAAGGAATTGGGACTAGGGAGTGGGCAGTGGGATTTACTAGCCAAAGCTGATACTTGGGCAGGGGTCTCCTTAACCACTAGCAGCTGAGAAGTGTCCTTGGGCAGTCGAGCTCTGAGGGTCAGAGGTCTTCTCTGACACTCTAGCACAGTGGTTCTCAACCTTCCTAATGCTGTGCCTCTTTAATACACATCCTCATGTTGTGGTGACCCCAACCATAAGGTTATTTTCATTGCTACTTCATAACTGTAGTTTTGCTACTGTAATGAACCACAGTGTAAATATCTGTGTCTTCCAGTGGTCTTAGTTGACACCTGTGGAAAGGTTTTTCATCCCCCAAAGGGGATGTGAGCCACAGGCTGAGAACTACTGCTGTAGCATCTGAGTGACTCGTAATCCTGTTTCAACAGAGGAAGAAACCATGCCTGGGACCTTGTTGTGTTGTGTTTGCTTGTTAAAGATGTATTTTTAAAGTCATGTTTGTGTATGTATCTTCGTATGGGTATATGCATGTCAATCAGGTGTCCATAGAGGCCAGAGACAGGAGTTATAGGTGGTTATGAGCTGCCTGACATGAGTGTAGGGAGCTGACTTCGAGTCCTCCACAAGAGCAGTGCATGCTCTTAACTGCTGAGCCATGTCTCTAGCTCTGTGTGTTTTTAAGTATTGTGTGTACGTAGTGTTGAGTATGCATGTGTGAATGTGTATTGGCCAGAAATAGATGTTAGCTGTATCCCTCGGTTGCTTTCCATCTTTTTGAGATAGAGTCTTCTCTCTGAACCTGAAGCTCACTGACTAGCTAAATGGCTAGCTAATGAGCTCCAGGGATCTACCCCTGTCTGGTTACCCTGCATTGGGATTATAGATAGGCACTGCCATGCCTGGCATTTACATGAGTGCTGGGGATCTAAACTCAGGGAATTGTGTGTACATACGGACTGGGCCGTCTTTCCATTCCTTTTTAGTTTTTCTTTTCTTTTCTTTTTTTTCATTTTAGCATGTGCAAGAGGTAAGTGATGTGTGTACATGTGGAAAGTAGAGGACATCTTAAGGAATTGAGTCTCTCCTACAATGTGGATCGAACTCAGGTCTCAGGTTCGGTGGCAGGTGCCTCTTCCCACTGGGCTTCTCACCAACCTTGAATTTGTTTTATTCTTTGAGGCCTTTTTGTTCTGCAGTGATGGGAGTGCAGGCTTGCACCACCGCCTTTTGTGGGGGCATGGAATTTTAGCCGAAGCCCAGAGTTTGATGCTAAGGCCTCAAACAGGATGTGACTCCACTGAGACTAAGACAGGCCTCTTCTCCCTTTCCCTGGCAGGAGGAGGAGGACCTTCCCTATGAGGAAGAAATCATGAGGAATCAGTTCTCCGTCAAATGCTGGCTCCGCTACATCGAGTTCAAACAGGGGGCTCCCAAACCCCGGCTCAATCAGTTGTACGAGCGGGCACTCAAACTGCTTCCCTGCAGGTGAAAATGGCCCTTCCTGTGCTACCCTCCTCACCAACCCCACCCCTCCACATGCAGCACAACCCAAGCGGCAATGTGTCCCAGGTGACTGCTGTGTCGTCCCTTCCTGAAGCACAGCCCCGATGGGTCACACCTCTTGTGTCCCAGTCATTCCCATCCTCGTGAGCTCTCTCACCCCTCCTCAGAGCAAAGGAAGGATTCTGGGGTTTCATGAGCCATTGTGTCTGTCTTTCCGCTCTCTAGCTACAAACTCTGGTACCGCTATCTGAAGGCACGCCGGGCACAGGTGAAGCATCGCTGCGTGACTGATCCTGCCTATGAAGATGTCAACAACTGCCATGAGAGGGCCTTTGTGTTCATGCACAAGGTGAGGAGCTGGAGAGGGGCTGTGCAGTGGGAGCTATTTCCCCAGGGATATGTAAACAGATGGCTACCCCTTCCTTACAGTGCTCCAACAAAACAAAGTATAGGTCCACCCAAATGTCCCACTGACTTGAGGAACTAACGAGCTTATTGGGCTCATTTGCAGAGCCTCGGTGTGGGGTAATAAGGCCTCTTGTCTCCCTGCTGCCCTTATGCCCTAGATATGGATGGCAAGCAAGCCATGGAGCCTGTGGCTCAGACCTGGCCCATCACTCTCCGTTATTTCCAGATGCCACGTCTGTGGCTAGACTACTGCCAGTTCCTCATGGACCAGGGACGAGTAACACACACCCGTCGCACCTTTGATCGTGCCCTCCGGGCCCTACCCATCACGCAGCACTCTCGCATCTGGCCCCTGTACCTCCGTTTCCTACGTTCCCACCCACTGCCCGAGACTGCTGTGAGAGGCTACCGTCGCTTCCTCAAGGTAAGCACCACTGAACAGTTCAGTTGCCAGGTCTGCTTCCAAACCTTGGCTCCCTGGAATAAAGGGCCCTCATGCAACAGGGAGGCTGCAGGAAGAGGCTCCTATGAATAGAAACAGCTTATTTGTGGTTTTTTTTTTTTTTATGTGCGTGGGTGTATGGCATGTCGAGGCTCAAAGTTGACCCTGGATATCTTCCTCAGTACTCTGCACTTTATTGAGGCAGGATCTCTTACTGAACCCAGAGTGTACCAGCTAGAACTCTAGCCCCAGGGATCCCATCTCTGCTGCTCCAGTGTTGCCATGGCTACCCAACATTTATGTGGGTTCTAAAGAGTCAAACTCTAGTCCTCACGTTTGCAAGGCAAATGCTTTATACACTGAGCCTTCTTCCCAGCCCCTGTGGTTTATTATATTTGGTTTCTAAGTAGTTAGCTTTTAGCTTGTCCCTACTCCACAGCAGGCATAGAGATGAGAGCTAGGGAGAGCATGCATAAGGCAGTCACCAGCACCTGCACTGGACTTTCAGACTAACTGGTAGACACATGCATGAACCAGTTATGTGAAACAAAAGGAAACCCCGGCCATGGGAAGAGGTGAGAGTAAGAGACACATGCAGTGGGCAGCATGTCAGGCAGAGCATGTGTGCTCAGGCATGTGATAACTATTGCGGTCAGTTTTCTAGCATGCTACTTGGGTGGCAGCTTGTGACAGAAGCAGGTCCTTTCCTGATCATCGGAGTCTAACTAAGTTGGACTGCTTAGAAGTAATTGGGCAGAGTGGTGGCTGGGGGAGGTGTCAAGGCTAAAGGAAAGGCCAAGGCTGGACTGCTCAGGGCTGAGGCTGAAGGCCCAGGCTAGATTACTGTCTCAATTCCTCTTCCTGTGGCTGTGACAAAACACCCTAAATCAATCTAAGGGAGAAGGGTTTGCTTTGGCTCA